ACAAACAATACCTACAATTAGTCCCACTATTCCTCATTTACGTTATACTTCAGTTAACACAGGAAACTTACCATCCTCAAAAATGTCCTGATATTTTCAGCCAAGTCTTAGCTTATGCCGATCCACTGGCCTAGAATACAGTGCCCAGCTAATTTTGCTACTGTTCTGTTTAGGGATCACAGAAGACTCAAATGTCTCATCCTCTGTTAAAGTTTTCCTAGTTCCTAGAGGAGGAATTACTGTCACCCTGTCCTTGTTCCCCTTGTGCACAATAATGTTGGCATAGCCTACATTGCATTCTGCCTTTTAAGGCAGAAAATTGTGAATATGTCTTGTCTATATGACTGAAATCGGGAACTGAATACGTATTTGTGTGAACTCTATAATAAAGACCGTTATACCGAGAAACATGTATTTCTGGTATGTATTTTCTCAACTTTTTAATTTTTATTTTGTAATGTACTTTCATAGAATTTTGGCAATTTTTTAAGTGGATAATGATCCTATTTGCTTCAATAAAGGAATCTTTTAAAACAGATGATTTTTCCTTCCATTGATAAAGTTAAATGTGTGGTGCTACTTGAAAGAATTCAGCAGAAATGAAAACCTAGGTTACTTACACTGAGATTTTAAATAAAAGAAGAAAAACTGTTATTAAATGTAACCTGTACAGTAACTGTGCTCTTGCAAGTGAGTTTGAAGTTGTCCAAGGTCACTAATCACTACTAGAATACATGATAATAGACTTCTTTTTTCAAATTAGCCAAATTCGACTTATTAAAACAATTTAATTGACAAAGTGATACTCTTTGTTTACATTGAAAATAAACCATTCTTGTAAACCTTTGATACTGCCTGCTTTTCTCCTTGATCTTGAGGACTTTCAAATAGTACATTTAATTCTCACAGTTGGGCATCTAAGGATTTCATGATGTTCTAAATGTAATCCCTCCCTGACAAGGGAGATCTAAGGAGTTCTGTCTCAGGATATCAAGGCCATAGCTTCAGGGAAGTCTTGCTGATGGCTCCTCTCTCCTGCATAGGTTTCCTATGACTGAGCTTCTAACTATCACATTCTCTGTCTTGTGCCCTATGTCAAACTCAACATTGTGATGTAATTGTCCAATCCCATAGTTCCTCTAGGAATGAGCCACTGCTGTCTCTGTTGTTTTTCTAAAGATGATTGCTACCCATAAAACTGAATCCAAAGATTTGGTGCCTTTTGTTCACTGCCGAATATCTTTAATAAATGCTGACTCCCACCAGCTGGGGTCATTGCCCAGCTTTTATGCTACATTATGCTGGGTCATGCAGTCAGCAAGTATAGCATAAAAGCTGGGCAATGGGCCGGCTAGAAACTGGCAATAACTTTCACATACTGCTTCTTTGACTGCCTGGTTGGTTCACCCACCCAATTCTTGTTATCTGGACTCTTTTGCCTTGCTAAATCTATACCTGCATCAAATCTGGATTCCATCTACCAAAGACTAGACTTTGTGTTTCATCTCTAACTCTGAAAATGATTCACACCTCATTGAGTGTGAGGTATTAAATATTCTAAAAACAGATTTTTCTATTAGTTTACCAACTGCAACAAGCTTATTTATAATAATAAAATGTAGGAAACTAATACTTTCATTTACTAATATAGCTTCTCTACTAATATTCATAGGGTAAATAATGTCTCATTTTCTAAAGACACAAATTTATTAATCTTGAGTTTTTTTTTTCTTTCTCATCCAACCTTTATTCAAATTTATTCAACTTTATTCAAAGTTTCTAAAAACAGATAATAGGGAAAGCACAGTCTCTTCAATAAATAGCATTAGGAAAACTGTGTACCTATATGCAGAGGCATGAAATTAGAGCCTTTTCTCACACTATAGATGAAAATCAACTTAAAGTAGTTTAAAGACTTAATTGTAGGATCTAAGCCCATAAAATGACTAAAAGAAAACATAGGAGGAACCTCTATGACATTGGTCTGGGCAAGATTTTTTAAAATATGACCCCAAAAGCACAGGGAACAAAAGTAAAAATAAACAAATGGAATTATATCAAACAAAAGAAGCTTCTACATAGCAATGGAAGCAACAGAGTGAAGAGAAAACACAGGAAATGGGTGAAACATTTGAAAAGTATACATCTGATAAAAGATAATATCTAAAGTATATCTCAAACTCAAGAAGCTCAATAGTAAGGAAATAACTCATCTAAACAATGGACAAAAGGCCTCAATAAATATTTCTCAAAAGAAAACCTAAATAGCCAATAGACTTATAAAAATACTTAACATCACTAATCATCAGGGAAATTCAAGTCAAAACCATAATGAGATATTATATCACACCTGTTAAAATGGCTGTTATCTGCCCTTCTTTGTTCATTGGAGCATTATTTATAATAGCCGAGATGTAGAATCAGCCTAAGTGTCTATCAGTGGATAAATGGATAAAGAAAATACATATACACAATGAAATATCATTCAGGCATTAAAAAGGAGAAAATCCTGCAATTTGTGACATGAATGAACTAGAGGACATTACGCTAAGTGAAATAAGCAAGGTACAGAAAGATAAATACATAACCTCACTTTTTTTGTGGAGTCTGTAAAATCTGAACTCAAAGAAGCAGTGAGTAAAATGGTAGTTCCCAGAAGACTGAGAGTGAGGAGGTTAGAGAGATTTTGGTTAAAGTAGGCAACAAATATTTCATTTTGATAGGAAAAATAATTTGAAGAAATCTATGATTCTGATGACCATAGTTATTAACAATGTATCATATTCTTGAAAATTACTAAAATAATAGATTGCAAGGGTTTTCACCAAAAAATGGTATGTGGGGTAATTAATGCCTATGTCATTTTGCTGTATCTAAACATTTCATTATTTACACGTATTTCAGAAAACCATTTTGTACATGAAAACTATATATTATTTTTGTCAATTAAAAAATAAAATAAACATAATTCTGAGAGAGAATCAGAAATAACAACAAAAGAGGCAATAGTGTTTTCTTCAAAAGCACAGGTCAATTAATATGTGTACATAAATAAATATTAAATATTACTTAATATTAGGATATAATTTTATCTATATGTACACATACTAATAAATGCATATCCACACACATAGCTTTTCTGATTCTGTCTTGATGTGTGACATTGTTTAAGCTTTTGTTATATTTCAATATTCTTGTATTCTGTTTGGGGTTATGTCACTTAAGAAGCCATCAGTGACCTCTGAATATTATTTTGAGTAGTGGTGAGTAACAATTTGTTTTTCTATTGAGAATAAGTGAAATAGTTGAATTTGAGTTGGTTATTTCATTTGGAGTTATAAGCAACTTTTTAATTCACATTGTTCTTTAGCCTGAAACTAGGAAACGGTATCTTTTTAGACTTTGAAAATAGGAACCAATCACTCAGAGAAACTTTTCAAGTAACTGTTCTCTTTTTAAGCCTATGATTTCAAAATTAAAATAAAACTATGATTTATAGTAATTAAAGAGAATAATAAATACTAAAAAATAAAGGAAAAATGAGAAAAGTCTGGCTAGAACTCAATTGTGGCCACTTAATCTCTTTTTAACAGTCTCAAAATAAAATATTTGGGTCACAGTCAAGCAGTGCTTCATACTAACTTATTAAAAACAGAGTTCATTGGTTCAGATATACTTTGAAGGTTTTACAAAAGTGAACTTATTCTACTGCTTTCAATTATTTTGCTTTACAATGGCCATCAGGCCTTAGGATGAATCACGAGGTCAAGAAATCAAGACCATCCTGGTCAACATGGTGAAACCCCGTCTCTACTAGAAATACAAAAAATTAGCTGGGCATAGTGGCGCGTGCCTGTAGTCCCAGCTACTCAGGAGACTGAGGCAGGAGAATTGCCTGAACCCAGGAGATGGAGGTTGCGGTGAGCCGAGATCGCGCCATTGCACTCCAGCCTGGGTAACAAGAGTGAAACTCTGTCTCAAAAAAAAAAAAAAAAAAAAAGAAAAAAAAAAGAAAAAAAAATACCCTGCTATTTTGAAGAAGTATCCAAATTTTATCTTTGGAAGATAAGTACTTTAACAGAAAATCCAAAAATGTCAGTAACATCTTAATACTCTTTGACTCCTTTATTATTGTTAGTTCTGTCTTCTAATTTTTGTTTATGTGTTTGCTAAAATTATTTACACACAAAATAAATTTAGTTATCCATAGGATGAGACAGTCACAAATAAAAGATCAGGTGAGACTACTGCATCAAGATATTTTAAAAGGTAATTATCTTCAGAATTGTACACCTAATCTAATGCAGCTTATTTACCTTTATCTTTATTTAATAGCAATCACAGGATGAATTGGTACTTGATCAAAACTTAGAAATGCTACCAGTAACACTGCTCTGTTTCCCCAAATAAGGCAAAAAATAAATAATAGATATAATAATGAAAGCTTCCTGAGGCCAATCCAATATCACATTCTGTATAAAATGATTTGTTTTTGCTAATACCTGTATTTGCTGATGTCTGCACATTTTATATGTGCAAATACTAGCTCGAGATCACAGAAAGATCTTGTGCCATTTCTCCATTTTCTATTTACACCACAATTTTCAAACCCAAGTTTGTCGGGGTTTGGCAGGGTAAATAGTCCAGAAATAGAGTTATGTGTATATCTTAGTTTCACTGTTACAAACTGCAGCATATGCTAGATTAAGGGAGACTAAGTGGTTCTAGCTAGGATGGGCAAGATTTAAGAAGAAGTAAGGAGATTAGGTTCATTAACTCTCTGGGATATTTTAGCTCCTGTCCCATCTGAAGCTTCTGATGTGTGTATGTGTGTATGAAGAGTTGTTAAAGCTTGGTTCAAGATTTTTCTAAATGGTTGTTTTATTTAGACTCTGTTATACCTTAAAATTTCAGTGATTAGTAACATGTTATATTCAGAATATTTTATCAGTACCACATAGTGAAATACAAATTGCAATGTTATTTATAAATATGCTTACCTTCACATCTTTGACATTCATCCTTGTTCCCTCTTTCCCAACAAATATATCATCAATGTCCACAAGGATGTACCTGTCCAAGGACAATGTCAGCCTCTTCCCTGACAAGAAGGAGATGGCATCTATGAAGATGAGCTTGTGTAGCCAAAAGTTTAAGTTGTTGCCAAAAAGTACTCGCTGAATTCCATCATGAAGACCCAGATCCTGAATCACCGTTGCAAAGAGTGTTTTGCTAGACAAGGATGAAAGGGATTTTTCTGTCTGTAATTCAGTTAAAAGTACAGGCTGGTAGGTTGAATGATTGTATTGGAAAATAGTCCAGTCTTCCCCAGGAAGAGGACCTTTCTCAACCTTAGGGGCTTTGGTAATATGCAGCAAAGGAGATTGAGGGTTAACAAAACAGTCCTTTAGAGCTAGATTATTGAAAAGATTTAACGGAAAGCCTTTTAATTGTGTACTTGGTAAGTTGTTCTCATTGGCTTTATGAAAACCGATTATACTAACACTGTATTCCACACAGTATTTTTCCAAAAGCTCTCGATTCCATGAGTCCATGCTGACATACTTCAGAATATTTTCATAAATCACTAAAGTATATTTCCCTTTGCCATTATCTGTGAGAGGAGGTATATCTCCCTTTCCAGGAGCAATAACCATGTGGTACTGAAATCGGCTGGACTCCAAAATAGCTATGATATCTTGACCGAGTTGAGAGTATTGGCTCTCCACAAAGAGAAGAACAGTTGGGTCTGTTTTGGATGTATCAATAGGTTTAAATGTTTTCAGCTCCATCGACCGATATGGTAGAATTTTGATGTCAGCACATTCTGCCTCTGCGGTGGTTTCAATAAGTGTCATTTCCTGTTTGTAGCCAGAGTAGAGAAAATAGGCAGAAATGACAATGCTCACCAAGCAAAAGGTAGCTAAGAGAACAATCAATGTTCGAAAACTTCTCCGAAGTTTCACAATCAGATTCATTTTCTAAAATAATATTTTGGTAGGCTTTTCCCAGTTTCGTTTCCTAAAGTGCCATAGTGAATAAAGTATGAGATGTTGCAAATATCACTTCCCCAAAGTTCATGTAACCATTGCAAATCATGTAAAATGTTTGAAGGGAACACAACTGAGTTAAAGCTGGAAGGCAATGGACAGGGAAGACATAAGTTGAGAAGATTTTGAATATGTCCAATACCAAGAATTGCTGCAGAATCCTCTAAGCATAATCTGAAAGAGAGGAGAAATGTAATAACTAAGACAAAAATAGAAATAGAAAGATTTATTTGTATATTAATGCTGATACCCAGAAACATATATAGCAATGATAATTTTAGTGTATTATTATGACAAAATATTAATGGTCCAATGTTTACAGTCTAGACTTAACTACCTATAGTAGATTTTTTGAAAACCCTCAGAATAGAGAAGCCAATTTTATTTTGCCTAAACATCCATATGTATATAGGAACATGTACTGAGATCATTTTCTAACTAATCAAACCAAAAAAAGAATGTAAGTAAAAAAGTAAACTTTAACGAAGAATGTCAGTTGCCATAAAACTGCCCTACAGAACTGATAAATATTACACACATATAAAATTAGGAAATCAGAATACAGAACCCAGTTTTATTTTGCCTAAACACCCATAGGTATATAGGAACATGTATTGATATCATTTTCTACCTAATCACACCATAAAAAGAATATAAGTAAAAAAGTAAGCTTTAACAAAGAATGTCACTTACCGTAAAGCTATTCTACAGAACTGATAAACATTATATACATATAAAATTAGGAAATCATGAAATCAGGAGCTTAGAGCAATGAAACATGCTCTTAGGTATCTGCTTGAGTGTCTGATATTACCAGCTGACTGAATAACTCTGTCTTAGGTTTAGAGTAGTTACAAGTTTTTCTCTCTAACAGTATATCCTGTAGCTGGACTCACAAGGAGCCATGTGGCCCTCTTCAGCATTACAGCTCAGATACACAGGATTGCTCCTTACTCATTCAAGGGGAGGCATTCTCAGGTCCCTTTAATGAAACAGGGGACAGAAAGCTTAGGTGAAAAGAACATTGACTTCTTATTCTCAAAGCATGTTTCTTTTCTTTTCTTTCTTTCTTTTTTTTTTTTTTTTTTTTTTGAGACGGAGTTTCACCCTTGTTACCCAGGCTGGAGTGCAATGGTGCGATCTCGGCTCACCGCAACCTCCGCCTCCCGGGTTCAGGCAATTCTCCTGCCTCAGCCTCCTGAGTAGCTGGGATTACAGGCACGTGCCATCACGCCCAGCTAGTTTTTTGTATTTTTAGTAGAGACGGGGTTTCACTATGTTGACCAGGATGGTCTCGATCTCTCGACCTCGTGATCCACCCGCCTCGGCCTCCCAAAGTGCTGGGATTACAGGCTTGAGCCACCGCGCCCGGCCTCAAAGCATGTTTCTTAATTTTGCCTACTCCTGTAATAAGAATTAAAACTCTTACCCGTTGTCAATTTTTATCCAAGAATCAGATGTTCTATTTCTCTACCACTTCCTTTAGTTCAAAAGTAAATGAATGTAGAATGCATTTGGGTTACCTTGTTCTTACATTGCTCTAAAGAAACATCTGAGACTGGAAAATGTATAAAGAAAAATGTTTTAATTGGTTCACAGTTCTGCAGGCCTTACAGGAAGCATAGCAACTTCTGCTTCTGGGGAGATCTCAGGAAGCTTCCATTCATGGTAGAAGGCAAAAGCGGAGCTAGATGTCTCACATGGTGGAAGCAGGAGCAAAAGAGAGAGTGTGGGCTCAGAAGACAGGAAGATGAGGATATGTTTGGAACTTCCTAGAGACTGGTTTTAAATGGTAGTGACCAAAATGCTGATAGTGACATGGACAGTGAAATACAGGCTGAGGAGATCAAAGATGGAAATAAGAAACTTACTGGAGGCTAGAGAAAAGATCACTTTTTGTTATGCCTTAGCAAACAACTTGGCTACACTGTGGCCCTGCCCTATGGATCTGAGGAAGTTTGAGCTTGAATGTGATGATTTAGGGTATCAGGTGGAAGAAATTTCTAGGCAGCAAAGCATTCAGGAGTTGACCTGGCTTTTTCTAACAAACTATGCTGAGATACATGAGCAAAGAAGTGACCTAAAATCAGAACTGATATTTAAAAGAGAAGCAGAACCATAAGGCAATTAAAACCCTTTTCTTTGTAAATTACCCAGTTGCAGCTATTTCTTTATAACCATTTGAGAATGAACTAACACAGCATTAAAAAAATCCCAAACTGCTTCATCACAAATGTGCATAATTTTCCATTATTATTATATGTTTTTCTTTGTAGAGATGATTCTGAGTTTTATGAATTACTTTTTATACAAGTTTTCTTCATTCCCCTCCAAACTATTAGAGTACTTAAATAATGTTCAGTTTCTCAATTTGCCAAACTTTCCCTACGATAACTATCTTGGGTGAAAATAGTTCATGTTATCAATGTGTAATATATATATTTAAAATGTGTATTATTGATACATTACATCATAGAGAATTAAATTAGCTGTTTATAATGAGCAGTATGGTCTACCATACTGTGTATATTTTACAATTTCTGTATTTTTAAATTTGGGGATCTGAGCAATTAATGGTTGCTAATGATAACTGAAAACATTTTAGATTAAATGATTCAACATTATAATGTTTGGTCACTACATTTTATTTTATATTTCTACGTTTTAAAATAGTTAACCTCATTAGAAATTCACATTTAAAAAATCTACATGAAGTTGAAATGCTTGTTTTTGTCAGAAAATAACTTTTGAACGTTTTCAAAAAATTTAAAGTTTACATCAAATACTTTAAATATTTTAATTTTTCAGACTCCAAATATATAAATGGACTTATTTTTTCCCTGTAAAATATATTGTACCAGTTTGAAAAGTCTCTCCAGTGATTTCACATTAACTTTAAAAACAAATGAATGCCACACTGTTGGGGACTTATTAATACTCTATTCAAAAATTTTATTTATTTATTTATTTTGAGATGGAGGCATGCACCACCACACCAGGTAAATTTTTGTATTTTTAATAGCAATAGAGTTTCACCATGTTGGCCAGGCTGGTCTCAAACTCATAACCTCAGGTGATCCACCAGCCTCAGCTTCCTATAATTCTGGAATTACTAGGAGTGAGCCACTGCACCCAGCCAAATAAAATTCTTTAAGATAATTGTCTGCTTTCCAAAAGTATTTGAAAAATCAGTTCCCTTTAACAAAATTGGATTGCATTTTACTAAAAAGAAATGGGATACAGCAACAAAAAGGCTTTGGTTTGGTATGAAATATATAAACCAATTATACTATGCCGTCTACTTTTATGTGTGCTTGAAAACGTTCATATATAAATTTTTAAATAAAAACAAAATTAAAACATATACATATAGATATTTACCTATGTAGTGTGTAGTGTGTGTGTGTCACAATATTGAAATTAAAAGATATTTGGAAATTGTCAAAGGAGATTATTAATCTTATATCAGTTCCTTGATTTCTCGAAGCTCACATTTTTAATTTAAAAAATCCATTTAAACAAACATAAAAATCAGATCCACCCTGTTCAAATTCACACCACTCCCCCAAATAACCCAATATGAGCTGATATCTACTTACATACTTTGGAGAACTGATTAGTATTTTAGGAATAAATGTAATCAGAAGACTTGGAGATAAATTAAATGTATACTTTTTCAAATCCTTACTTTTTCTGACATTAAAAATGTGATTGTTATTTTTGAATATTCAAAGGAGAACATGATGGTTTTGCATATTTAGAATATCTCATCCTAATGCAATAGTGGAAAATACATTTAAAAAAAAAAAAAAACATATGGGGCAAGAATCTGCCAGCCCAAAGAATAAATAAAATTTAAATGTGACATTTATTTAACAGTAATATGTTCAGAGTTAGGAGAATGATAGATACATATTATCACCATGGAAGACATATTTGTTTCAATGTAAGTGTTTTAATAAAAGGAGTTATCCTTCCCATTCAATTCTCCCAGTTTTCCTTCCCTAGCAAAACTGGCCAGTAGCGATGAGGAAGCCTGGACCATAAAACATGATACACCATAAATGTTTACTTATGTCTCACACCTGAACTAAGAAATTGTATTATGACATTGTTTGAGATGCCAAAGAATTGTTGTCTGTTATTACTTTGCATCTCCTACATACTACTGTGACCCTTAACATGGTGTGGGAAAAGGCATGCAGGAGTATGGATAGGGAGAACAATCAGCGTAAGAATCTTATGTTGTTACCATAAGTCAAAGAAGACAATTGAGGTTATTTTTCAAAGAGCACAGAAAAAAATATTTCAGGATAATAACAAAGATGTTAAAATGCTTCCATAATGGTATAAAATAAGGGACATCTGTTTTTAAGTAGTCTAGGGTAATACACCAAAATGTTTATTTTACCTTAATTAGTGTTTTCTTCAGGAAGACCCTGGGACAAGTTAGCAACAAACAGAAACATTTGGGAGCTTTCTATTCCCCACTTTCCCCTTACATGGTGACATTGACCTTTCATTGTAGAAAGAGCAGACAAATATGTGGATTACTGAGTAAATTGCATCTATGGAAAAACTATTTTATTAACCACCAAACCAAGTAAGTTAAATAGGCTTTGGTCCCAATTCTTCTAAATTTATCATTCCATGTTTGAGTAAATCTATAGCTAAAAATTTGGAAAGAGAGATCTACTTATTATTTGTCATAATGACCTGTCACAAAATGTGGGCTTCATGACCCCTGCACAGGCTTTGTTGAGAAAAAGAGGGAGACTTTTGTAGGTGTTTCCTTTCCTGTTCTCACTTCTGTTTTCTTATCTTTACCTTTTATCCTTCCAAGTGTTGCTTATCACCTAGGTAGTAGTGGAGTAAATATCTCCTAGAATATTTTACTCTCTTTCAAGATTAGAAAATATTACATGCAGATATTAACATTTCTGTTTCATTTATCTGTTATGATTGCTTTAGACATTTTCACAATGTGTTTAGAGATTCTCTAAAATACAGTTTGCAATGTTCATTTGCACATAATCATTGCAAACTTCTAGTAATCTCTAGTAGCAGCAGAGAAGTGCATTAGTAAACAAAGCAATTATAGGTACTACTGTAGTTATTGCTAATTTTTTGAAAGGCAGATATACAGAAGTAAGGTATATACTAAATCACATTGT